TCACAAAAATTATCCACCTCTGCATTATGTGCGGCAACGCAAGAGGGCAAGTGTGTCATTTGCTACAAAAGCCATGGTTTGAAGTCATGTGTCACTTTTCTGTCATTACCTGTGAAAGAAAGATTCAGAAAAGCAATGTCTAAAGGCCTGTGTTTCCGATGCCTTGAACCTGGTCATAGAGCCGAAGTGTGCCAGAAACCTCCATGCAAGCATTGCCAAGGTAGACATCACAGTCTCCTGCATCAGGATTCAGCTCGTCCTCCCTTGGAAGAAGTCAAGGTGGAATCAGCCCCGGAATTACTACCCTCGTCGTCAGGTCCTGCTTTGCCGTCCTCAGTTGTGGCAAATTCTGTTGCAGTGAGCTCAGGTGGAAAAGTGATCCTGCAGACCATACCAGCTATTTTGTGTGGATCAAATGGGTGTTCAAAAGTTGTGAGATGTTTCTTTGATCCTGGTTCTCAAACGTCGTTTGTTCGGCAGAGTGTAATTGATGAGCTTGGTCTTGATGGGAAGAGTGTCAAAATTGCTGTTTCTGGATTTGGTGGAGAGGCCACCAAGAGCACTTTGCGGAAGAGAACTGCGTTTACTGTGGCACCTATTGACAAATCTGGACAGCCTCAATGTATTGAGGCACTTACTACACCAGTAATATGCCGGCCAGCTGAAGCTGTGGATATTCATCCAACAAGATGGTGTCACCTTCGAAACATAGCATTTCCTGAAGAATTCCCTAGAGAGGAACAAGAGATTGATGTGCTTATTGGCTTGGATTTCTATTATTCCTTTGTGACAAGAGACATTGTAAGAGGGGGTTCCCGTGAGCCAGTTGCAGTTCGCACAACTTTGGGTTGGGTCTTCTGTGGGCCAACAGGTGGTCATGGCCAAGAATGCACTGTGTCTATGAATGTTCAAATTAGTGTTGAAGAACAATTGAATGAAACACTTCAAAAGTTCTGGGATTTGGAGTCCATTGGTGTCAGACTTGCTGAAAGTTCAATTTCTACTACTCATGCAGAAGATGTGGTCTTGAAGAAGTTTAAAGAGACACTAACATACAATGATGGTCGCTATGAAGTATCCTTACCATGGAAGGAAGATTGCATTTCATTGAAAGATAATTACCGGCAAGCGGAAAGTAGGTTGTACAATCTAGAAAAGAAGCTGCTCCATGAGCCAGTGAAAGCTGCATCGTACAGAGAAGCGATTAACAAGTATGTTGAGAACGGTGTTGCTGAAGAAGTACCTTGTGATGAAATTACACCAACAGATGGGCGTCCGGTGTTCTATCTCCCTCATCATGCGATCATCAGGGAAGACAAGCAGACAACCAAGACAAGAGTTGTGTTTGATGCATCAGCGAAAGATAGCAATGGTGTCTCTCTGAACAGCTGCTTAGAGCCAGGCCCAGCATTACAGCCAGATTTGGTCGGAATTCTTCTGCGTTTTCGAAAGAATTATGTTGGTATCATGGGTGACATAGAGAAGATGTTCTTGCAGATTCGGTTAAAAGAAGAAGACAGAGATTCACACCGGTATCTGTGGAGAGATTTGGACCCCAAGGCCACGCCTAAGATTTACAGAATGACAAGGGTCACATTTGGAGTTGTTTCCAGTCCGTTTCTTGCCATTGGCACTATTCAAGAGCATGTGAAAAGGTGTAAAGAAACATTCCCTGTTGCATCAAATGAAATCTTGAGGAACACTTATGTTGATGACTTTGCTTCAGGGAGAGACAATGTGCAGGAAACGCTGAAATTACAGCGAAGTGCTACTGAGCTTATGCAGAAAGCTGCCTTTAATTTGACAAAATGGTCAAGCAATTCATCTGAGCTTATGGAGGCCATACCAGAGAGGGACAGAGCAGCAGTTAGTCTTGTCAGCCTGGAAAGTGATCTAGCAGAAGCACATCCAATCACAAAAGCATTAGGATTAAAGTGGAATACACTTACTGACAACCTTGTCTTTACAATTGATGTGGACATTGTTAAGTCGAGATCAAAGACAGTGTACACTAAAAGAAAGGTGGCGTCTTTAGCAGCAAAGATATTTGATCCGATTGGTCTAATCGCACCCTTTTCAGTGAGGTCAAAATTAATTCTTCAAAGCTTGTGGACCAAGGGTGTTGGATGGGATGAGGAAATTCCCATGGAAGTCTCATCGAAATGGAATCAGTGGGTTCAAGAGATTTCTGAACTTGGACACCTTCAAATTTCTAGATGTTACACTGATTTGCCATTAGGTCAGAACCCCAAAGTAGAGCTACACGCATTTGGTGATGCGTCAGAAGTTGCTTATGCCTCTGCAGTTTATCTGAGAGTTGTTTGTGAAGATGGAAGGGTATCTACCAGTCTTGTGATGTCCAAGACCCGAGTGGCTCCTGTAAGGAAGATTACCCTACCGCGCTTAGAGTTGATGGCTGCTGTAATTACTGCTAGACTTTGCACCTATGTCAAAGGTGCAATAGATTGTCCCATTAGCCGCATTGTTTGTTGGACAGACAATTCTTCAACGTTACACTGGATTAGAGGAGCAGCCTCACAGTGGAAACCATTTGTTGCTAATCGTGTTATTGAAATTCAGTCGTTGCTGGATCCCAGTGTTTGGAGGTATTGTCCAGGACCGCAGAACCCAGCTGATCTACCTACCCGAGGTTTATCTGCAAGTCAGTTACGAGAGAGTCATTTGTGGTGGAAAGGACCCTCTTGGTTGCAAGAGTCCGAAAAAGATTGGCCCGAGGATTTAAGGTCAAAACCCTCCAGTGAAATTGTTAACCCAGAGAGGAAGAGTAAAGCTAGTGTCAGTTGTGTTGTGCAACCCAAAGAGCCGTTTATTGACTTCACAAGATTCAGCAAGTATAGTCGCTTGCTAAGAACTGTTGCTTGGATCAGAAGATTCGTTAGCAACTCAAGAGTGAAAGAAGAGGAAAGAATTGACAGCCCTTTAACTGGTTTAGAGATACAAAATGCAGAAGAATGGTTGATATCTCATGTACAAGAAGCAGGTTTTCCTGAAGAAATTGCGTCATGTAAACAGCATGGTCCAGTGAAGGACAGCAACCTTGCCAATTTAAACCCGTTTATGTGTCCGACTAGTCATTTTCTTCGTGTTGGAGGAAGAATTCACAAGTCACTGTTGCCAGAAGAGGAGAAACATCCTATTATCCTGCCTTCTAACCATCCTGTTGTTAAGTTGTTAATTGATGATATTCACAGCCGTGAACTACATGCTGGAGTTGAACACACTTTGTCACTTTTGCGACAGAGATTTTGGGTGATCAAGGGACGATCGACCGTCCGTCAGACACTAAGGAACTGTCTAATTTGTCGCCATTACCAAACAAAACCCTTTGGTCAGCAGATGGCACCACTTCCTGAAGACAGAATTAAGCCTGCACCACCGTTCACTAACGTGGGTCTAGACTTTGCTGGTCC